GATGGACTGGACATACACACACCCACAACCACCTACACACACAATGGACAACTGTACCCTCATACACACAATAATAACATGGACTGAAACACCACTCACAACCACTAGCACTTTATATAGCCTTTGTAGAAATTATCCACATATCTCACTTATCTTAACTGCACTACTGTATAATTCTGTATAAATATTCATTCTGTATAATACGATAATTTTTAATTCTACAACTGCTTATAACTTGCATAGTTCACATTTCTGTATAGCTGTATATCTCATATTTCTGTATAGTTTTTTTTTTTAAATTTCATATTTCTGTATAGTTTTTTCATATTTATATCCTGTTCATAGCCTGTACTTAGCTTGTACTTAGGGCTGGGCCATATTATACTGTTCACGGTAATACCGGTACAATGTTAGGCAACGATGAGAAAATTAAATATCATGATAGGATATGGGTAAAACTGTCACGGACTGCCGGGGCAGACCGTGCGGAGTGAGTGGAGGACCCAAGAGCAGACGAGCAGAGGCGAGGACACAAAACTGGACTTAACAAAAAGCGAGCCTTTATTTAGGGCCGAAAACTCACGGAAAAAACAACAACAACAAAGTAACTGAGGGAAAACCTGAACATACACTGGGAAACTATGACTCTACTGAGATTTAGACTATGACTAAACAACATACAAACTATGACTTACTATGGCTGGGAAACTGTGACAAGGGGTAGGGGAGATAACACAGACAACGTGACACTGAACACAGCAAGACTGAAGACTAAATACACACATGAGGTGATCAGAGGAAGTGGAGACACATGAGGACACAGCTGACACACATAACCTAATGACAGGACAGGGGAAGTGAAAACTAAATGCAATGAACAAAGAACAGAGGACTCTTTCAAAATAAAACAGGAAACATGATGAGACAGACCAGACAACATGGGCTTGACAACATGAGACGTGGAACACAAAGGGCAAATGAGACTAAGATCCAGGGGAAGGGGAAATTAGGAGATCCACTAAACAGAACTAAGGCTGAAAAACTTAGGGGTGTCACGGTCCTGGGTCAGTGACTCGGTATTTTGAGTTTCTTGTGCCTCTGAGTTTTTTGTATTATGTTCTTAGCCTTGTGCCGCGGAATTCTTCACCTCCCACGTCCAGCTCTGACCACCGCTCACCTGCCTCTTTCCTCGCAGCAATGTGGTCAGAGGAGGAGGAGTCAGATTCAACCTCTCTGCCATTACCGGCAACCACCACTATCTCTGCTCCCGTCTCCAGGGAGAAGCGGCGGCAGCACAGGCAGCGAAAAATGCCACCGCCAGAACCCAGGACTTCACCAATGCAAACGCCTGCGGCGAGTGTAAATGAAACTACAGTTTACTGGGTCTGAAGGCCCAAGATCTGCTTATGTTGGGACTGAGGTGAAAAAGACTGTTTCGTCTGAAACCAAAATTTCCCATTTAGGTAACCTAGAAGACTATTCTTCTCATGCTCCTCCTAGCCATAACAACGCAAAGAACTGTGGTAATCCTGTTACGTTTGAGCCTGGACTAATTAACTCCGTGTCTGCTAGCTCAGCGGATGTTAAGTCAGA